TCGTCGTCGAGCCGCATTCCGGTTTCTCCCACAGCGCCGGCCTTTTTGAGGCCTCAGACAACATCACTCATCTGGTGAGTGAGGAGCAGAGGGCGCGAAACCTGCACATGGACGTCGAGGCGGAGAACCTCTTTCACCTTACCTCCCCTCCTCCTGCGACTCCAGAGGCCGCCGCGGGACCAGTGTTTGCCGTTCAAATCGGCAACTACGCTACTCCCATCACCCAGATGTGTAGTGTCTATGTCCCAAGGGGTAAATTTATTCCCCGTCTCTGTGTTATGCTCTTACTGTGCCTTAATTTTTCCGCCCACAGCCATGACTTATTGTGTTTTTTCATCCCTAGGTCTTCCCTACAAATTTATTAATTCAACCTCCTGGACAATTGACCTCCTCAGGGTGCGATTCCTCCACTTCTCCACTTCTTTATGACTTTTATGACTTTGCGTTCTCGAAGCGCATTTCATTTTTTTATTTTACCAATATAATCGTCTTATATTAAGCTGCCTCCTTCCTGATTTGATGGGATATGCATTTTTTGAAGGCAAGTACGTTTATTTCGCGTTTCTTTTATTCACTGATTCTGTATTCAATAGTAAACGTGAATATTTAACAAACAGTGAACAACAAAAGAGGTACAAACCTTGGCAATCGATATCCGTAGTCGTGAACAAAGGAGTCGGCCGAATATCGCCTGACTCTAGACCAAGGAACAGCGCATGTCTAATAAGCCATAGGGGTGTAGGGGGAAACGAGTCTTGGGAGGGTGGGTGTGTCCAAGGGAGAGGGGTGACTGTTGCTTTTATGTGACTTTGGGGCCAATTAATGTGGCGTCCGATAGGGGTGAATATTTGCCAGAAATGGGGTGTCGCATACAGAGGTATAAAACGGGTCGGCTGGAGGAAGAGGTGTTCGAGTGATGCTCGCAATGCGGCGTGAAGGAGGGGGAGGGGTGTTCAAGTGGCCCTCGGAGCAGTCGCGCCTTGTTGCACCCGAAGGGAGACTGAGCCGAGGGTGTCCAGGGGGAACTTAAGGTATATGAACATTGAGCAATCCGTAGGCCTAGGTGTAGTGGTTTCGGGTTGTCTCTGGGATTTCGCAATATCTCCTGACGGTCGTTTCGTTCCCGTAAGACGCTTCAAGAATTTGTCAA